ACCCGCTTACATTTTTAGTTACTGATTTAGTCAAAANAAAAAAAAAAATTCAAAATCAACTGCAAAATGCTCATATTTGGCCCTGAACAGTTGAAAACAGTCCTTTTCTTCCTAGTTGTTACAGTTATTCCATCTTTCAATGCAGTGGTGCATTAAAAGTTCAAAATTCATTGTTAAATTTTGAACCATCCTGGTGTGTTGACTTCATGGCTCCTATTGTACCATTTTGGGCCATAATAGGATGCCTAGGCCTGTTTTATTTTTTATTTTTTCGCCCGTCCACTGCATTATTTTTTTGGAAAAATCCGTTAACCAAGAAATTCAATTGGTGTGGCCTAATGTAATAGTCTAGAGAACATCCATATCTTGAAGGACTTGTCAATTTTTCAGTGGCTTTGGTGGGTGTGCGCTAATATATAGGGTTTTCTCCAAGCAGAGGGGTTATTACCTTCGCCAAGAAGGTTATGTTTTCAAGGGCGTTCGTGTATGTGTGTGTGTGTCTGTAAACACTATAACTTGAGAAGGCCTTGATGGATTGTCTTGATACTTGGTAGGTGGGTAGGTCTTGATGAGACCTCAAAATGATTAGATTTTGGGTCCCCTAGCGGCTTGTTATGGTACTGCAGCTGAACTTCCGGTTTTGATATCTCATGATCTAGACATGCTATGGTGATGAAATTTGGATGGTAGGTAGCTCTCGTGCTGGGGAAGAAGTGACGTGAGTTTGGGCCCCCTAGCGCCTTGCTCTGGAACTGCAGGGATATATTCTTGAAATTATTCAAAAGGGGATAACTCAAGAACCGTTTGACGGATCATCTTGATTTTTGGTATGTAGGTAGCTTACGTGATGTTTAATATAATTATGTGACAATTATGCAAATATAGATGTAATTTACATAATTTATGGGGAAATTCTATAAATCAGCTGCATTCCATGATAGGACAATTGAAGCTTGTGACATTGGTAATTGACAACGAAAGAAACACAGGAAGATATTGATTATGTTAATAATGACCTAATTTGCATAATTAATGAGAAAGTTTTATAATTATGTAATGATAACTGCCTGGAATTTCATACTTGTGGTATTTGAAAGTTTAGTTGAGGTGAACATCATTAAACATAATTCATTCAAATCATTTGCATAATTTATTAGGAAATGCTAGAATGCATTGTTTGTTAATATAAGACTGTCTTTTGGTTTAGATTATGATAAAATGATATAATTCATGAAAATTAGGTTCCTATTTCTTAAATCAGGGGGAATAATCTAATCTATAATTTGTCAGTCATAAAGATTAACATCATTTGGCGAAGGTATGAGATCGGGGAACTCTAGTTTGTGTTGTTTTACCATCCATTTTTGTATCTATGTTCATCAGAATGAAACTCTGCTTGACCAGTTGTCAGAGAAGCTCAGAACCCTAAAACATGCACTCGCATCTGGCATGCAGTCTGGACACATGGTCACCAGGCCCAGTGTTTCTGCAGTCAGCAGATCAACAACTGCAGGTACTGTAATGTTACACAGTAAACAAAGCAATATTTGTGAAAGATAGAAAAGTCAAGTCTGACTTAGAGCCAGGGTAATGGTATATGTACATGTATATGTCATTTAAATAATCTCATTGTTTGTATGCTATGGTCCTGTCTGTTTAATAAAATGGTTGATTTTCACATATGCAAAATTGCAGGTTACAGTACAACAATATTGTACAATCATGCAATATGTGGGGCAATTTCTCAGATGTTTGTGCACTATTATCACAATATCGAATGTTTTGCTATGTTTATTCAGAATTTTTAAGAATCAAAATTAATGTCTTCAAGGCGCACAAATTTAATTTCTTGGTTCTCAGAGTCCTGCCCCAGCTTCATTTTTCTTAGATTTGAAAAAAAAAATAACAAAAAAACATACATGTACTAGTTAGGTTCCAAATCAACTCCATGAATTAAATGCTCATTGTCAACAGACAGTTCAAGGAGGTGTATGTGTAAAGTAGTGTGTGTGTGTGTGTGTGAGTGTGTGCGTGAGTGTGTGTGTGTGTGTGTGTGTGTAGTGTATGTGTAAAGTAGTGTGTGTGTATGTGTGTGTAGTGTATGTGTAAAGTAGTGTGTGTGTATGTGTGTGTGTGTGTGTGTGTGTTTGTTTGTGTGAAGTAGTGTATGTGTAAAGTAGTGTGTGTGTGAGTGTGTGTGTAGAGTGTGTGCATGTTTGTGTGTGTATACGTTAAATTATGACACCTTGTCCTTACTTTCAGGACCGAGTTTACGCCCTGACCCATCCTCCCAGCTGCCACCCTGCCCTGTCCTGGAGATGTGTTCCAGCACGACCCCCAGAAACATAGAAACCCCCCACCTCCTCCAGACATGCGGCTACGGACAACGCCCTCTTCAGCCTGAGAAATACTGCCACATCGGATTCAACGAACCAAATCGTATGTAGGTTTATTGCCTCCGGGGAAGGAGACATCCTTCCGCGGAAGGGTTTTGTGAAAGATGTAGATTTTCATGTTCGCAGTTGTTTCTCGCGTTTGGGTGGAAGGATTATTTTGGGACTCGGTATATGTTTTGCTATTGTATTGGGCTGTAGATGATGCACGTTCTTTTGTTTTTATTGTATATGTGTTTTCGGGCGTGAAAATGGTGTCTTTTGGTGGCCCCAAAACACCCCTTTGAGCGTGAAAATGGTCGCGACTGTTGACCTTTGGCGTGAATTTGGTATTTACGGTCTGGTCCACGAAGCTGACCCCTCGCACAGAGGGGTGTCCGGTCTTGATAAATTCTTTGTTAACATAACAAAGAACATATAGAAATATACAATAAAAAGCCAGGAGGTATAAAATCTCAGATTTTACTTGTTAATAGCTGGTTTAAAATGTATTGTAAAGTGTGGCAAACTAGATTTTCGTCAATATTCTCTTGGTTGTTGTTTAGTCTTAGTTAGTCTTAGTAGTTGGTTAGGAGTATAGTCTGTATTCTGACAATTCTTTAGAAGATGACATTGTCAAATGTTTGAGGGCAGGATCAAGCATGTTAAAATAAACATTTAGGGAGTAGGGAATATCCACTGCAATGTGAGTTTTCTTACTCACTAAATTCAACATAGAGCTTTATTTGTTATCCTAAATTCATCAGGTTAAGCATTATTGAAAAACTGTTATCAAACATAATTGCCCCCAAATCATATCATTGGAGCATAGGTTCCGTAGACTAGTTTTGCCAGACATCACATGAATACAAATTCTAAAGAACATAACTCCAGTGAAGTCATTCCCAAAGCCAGGTGATACACACTAGAAGAACTAAAGTCAGTTTACGGTAAAGCATTTTTGGCCTGTGTGAGTTCACAGTAGGCCCTCCTAAAATGTACCATTAAGCATTGCCAAGATACCCCATGCATACCCTCTAACATGTCACCCTGCAGGGAAGACTTTGTTCATCAAGTTCCTCGACCTGAACATGTCTGAGGTTCACACCTTGAAAATCATTGATGGGCCAGTGAGCCATTCCGTCAACACATCTGCCATAACAAGTGGGTATTGTAATTCACATTCATATTTGTCTTCACTGTTACTGTAGTAAAATTGAGGAAAATGCACAGTAGCAGGAGAGACTAAAAGACAAAATTAATGATTTGACAATGAACACAATAGAATGAACACTTAGAAAGAACAAATAGAACGAACACTTAGACAGTGGACTGTGATCAAAAAATAATCAGATGTTGTCTCCATAGGTTGGTAAGGGGTTAACGTAGATACTTGCTACTTGGGCAAAGAACATTTCAACATGATGTGTGTTGTGAGCAAGCATGCCTAAGCATTTAGGAGAGAAGTAGAAGCGTGTTGTGAGCAAGTTATCATCCAAACATGACAACTAGAGATGAGCTTTCAAGTTGTTTCTCCTCAGGACCAATCAGGGTGAAGAACGATGCTTACAGCATCGTCTTCAGGTCGGCAAAGGCCACGGAACATCCGATCAAGGGCTGGCGAGCGCTGGTGTACACGGAGTCGACCACAGACGCTGAAGTGAAGCACTGCACCAGCAACCCTGCAACGGTATCCTGCACCCCAACTCCATGAGACATCAGAGAATCCATGTACTCCAACAAAAACGAATATCATCATGAAAGTTCATCTGTGTTGGTAGTTACATGTTTAAAGTTAAAACTTTTGGTCCAACACAAAAAATTCTCTCACCTAGAGCTTTCGACCAGTCACTCTGGTCTTCCTCAGTCAGTAGACTCCTGAGTAAGTAGACTGACCCTTTGACCCAGTGTTGACGTCACACTTCAAAGAAGCCACGTGACAAGCTTCACTGGGTCAGTCTACTGAGGAAGACCAGAGTGACTGGTCAAAAGCTCTTTAAACAAAAACGAATATCATCAGGTTGATAATGAAGTTTCAAAGCAATATGCTACGTCATGGACTCCAATCAAGGTTGTGATGGCATAAAACTAAGTATGGCTTCAGAAACTTTCCCCTGGACTGGGACATTATAAGTCATATTCAGGTGGATTTTTCTTTGGTGCCTGAATAGATGCAGTTCATTCATGTTGTTTGCTTCCAAACATAAACTGATGGAAGAAGCAACATGGACAATACATTAGCGCTCTAGACACCATCCATTTGTCTGTCACTGATAAAATTTTGTCACTCACGACGGACAAAAATTTTGCCCAATCCGTTATCTTTGACAGACATAAGTTGGCATGTAAAGATATGGAGAGAGATGTCATTATGCTATGTCTCCCAGTAAAATTTACCTTTCAACATGCAGGAAATAGCATTTCAGAGGGTCAAGATTTCAAAATTTTCCCAGGGGAGCAAACCTCTGGACACCCTTCAGCAATTGACATTATGTTTCATCGAACAAAATTGAGATGACAGAAAAAAATTCAGGGTGGTTAGACCACGGCAATACATAGTCAATCAGTCAACAAACAAATTCTAATGTCTTTTGCACTTTTATTAAGATGTTACTTCTATGCTTGTTAGCATTCTGTGTTCCTTTTGCACCCATTAATTTGTCTCCTCATTAAACATAATAGTTATGTACTTAAAACATAATAGTTTGTATAAAATGTATAACATTGGACCCACTTAAATGTGTTAACAATGACAATCTCTGCTTTTACATAATCCACATATAAATCATACATTTATTGATAATGAGAAGTATGAAAAATTTGTAGCATTATCTTGTATCTTTGTGATAACATACAGAAAACATAAACAAGAAATATGCTAACAATTGACTGATTTTCATATTGCAAGAATTGTTAAGTAAGAACTAAATATTACTGTTACTATGGAAGACACTTATACAATGATTTAAAGTATCACTGCAACGAAGTAGATTCGACTGGGCATTGTCTGTATGGTAATTTCATACTTTGAACTTGTATGAAATGACACATTAGGGGAAAAATATCAGTTTCTTTGTATATCACAATTCTGTAACAATTCTATTACAAATACTTGTCTCAGACCCCCACCCCTATCACACAACGTGTCAATTTGTATTAATAAAACATGATAACACTGTTATGATGGAACCGTGTTGTGCCTTCTCTTGTTCCCTGCTGTCTTATAAAATGGCCAACTCAGCAGCGAGAAGTTTAGAGACATATCTGGGCTGGCATGTCGGCAGAACGTACTGCACCTGCATAAAATCCAGACATAATGCGCACATAGCATTTCTACAGAACATATTCATTGTTTAAAGTCGTGCTCGTGTTTTTAAGGATGACAACCTGTCTGTAGTTTTCAAATGTGTCGGATAAGATATGCAACAGACAATATTCTGAATGCAACGTTGATCAGACATCTAACAGAAATAGTGGTTTCATGTAGGCACGATACGTTCTGCTGATATACTATCTTGGTCATATCAAAATATAGACCAAGTAATGCAACTAAGCCATTAAAATAATTCCATGTAAGGTAAGAAAACCTTAATCTTCTCAACAGTTCATCCTGTTGTGTAAAAGTTGCAAACATTCTTCTGCGGGATAGGAGGGGGTTTTATACAAAGTTTTCTTGCATCATCATCATCATCATACTTCTGTACATTCTTTACAAGTGTCCCACAGGATGAGTCCAATACTAAGATTGCTGTGGGACGGTGACAATGTTCACACTTTGTTATAATACTGTCTTGCAGATGCATCAGTTCGAGTAGCAATTTTTCAGCCTATGATATGCAGCAGTATTACAGAACAAAAATAAATATTGCAATTTTGCTTCTTGTACTTTTTTTCTGCTTTCCACATATATGTACATTGCACTGTGAGAGGAAACCTTGACGATCAAGCATGGCACACATCATGTAGCGAGGCCTGTGGTTAGATTATCAACCACACCATATATACCAACAGGAGTCTTGTATAGCTACAGGGAAAACAACACAGAGACTTTCAACATCACCACCCAAAGAGGTGCAGTCAACAGCTGGATCAGTACTACTGGCACATAGCAAAGAACAAAATGATCTAGATAGAAAACATTTCAGTCAGGGATTATTACTGTGTCTGATATAATTACAGTTTGAGATAATATAAATAATTTTGTACCATCCGTATATAGCAACTGTTTGTTCAGAACAAAAAAAGCTTCATGTAGAATTAAAACAATGAGTATTTTGCTAATTCCTATTGCTCAGGTGAAAAGCGTTACAGTTTAAAAGTCTTTTTGTTGTTTCTATCTTTTTTCTTGTGGGAGGGGGGCACATTTAACAGCCATGATGGCATTTTCACCACAGCTTGTACTGAAATATTCCAACACTTATGCCGGAAGACGTAATTTGCTGTTGCTACAATTGAAATTTCTTGGCTTGTCGTTAGCTTTGGTATGGATTTCTGAAGCACTTCACATTCGACTTGTAGAAACCAAACAGAAACCTGACCTGACTTATTCTACATTTCCTGGACTAAATAAGGAGGAAAAGAAGTAAATGGAATACATATTGACCCAAGTCAATGTCATCACAAGTAACTACGGTACACTTTGCAGGGCTCCCTGCTCAACATTCCAGGGCATTTCTTACGTCGGTACTATTTGACTGTCCCTGCCATTAATTTGTTAATGCACTAAAAAGACAAAGTACCTTCTACCAATGGTTTCTTCGAGTTAGAAAATATACTACAGATTTGGAAAATCTAATAACTACCATGTACATGTATTATAAAAGAAACCTATTACTAAATGTACAGTAAAATTTTAGTTAACTTAAGAGCATGGTTTTCAAGGCATTATATAAATGTATGTCATGGAATCTTCACTTTAGTCAAACCTATAAACATATTTCACTTGGAACTTCACAAGATTTTTTGAATTTCCAGCATCTTTTCAGTAATCTAAAATTACCACACTTACACTGTTAGTACAAACACAGGACCTGCAACTTATGGTGCATGTGCATCAGTAGTAGCCCAACACTAAGAAATATCAAAATATGAAGACAGACAGGCAAACAAGATGTACTCGACTTTCCCAACGTAAAATTGAGGAGACAGTTGTCTTCACAAGTCAGATGACTTTACCCTTCACAATTCTGCACCATCACAGTTTCTCACGGATAGACACAAGGATGTCATCTGGTGCAGATGTATAAAACAAGTTTGAGCTGTAATTTCCTACACAGTAAATTGGACCAAAATTTTTGACTGTACACCTCCAGTCTTTGTCAAGGACTGAGCAATCCACTGCTTGTCATACCACTTTATGTAGATAGCACAAGTTACTTAGTGAGTCGTTGATCATAGGTTGCAGAAGTTTGTGGCGCCCCCCCGTCTCTGTTGAGGGACGGTTGCAATGCCCTGATGAACACTAGAGTTATACAGTCGAAAATTTGTCCAATTTCTTGTGTTAGATATCACAGTTCAAATTTGTTTCAAAGCTACACAGATGAGCTTTCGAGCTGAGGTGCAGATGTGTCTAACCACACGTCACACTTGTTTGCACACCCCCATGTAATGGAACCTTGTGTCGTGGAAACGTTTCGGCCAGGGGAGCGGCCAGGCAAACTCCCGCGGCAGGACCCCCCAACGTTCCCCTCCGCCATCCTGAACATGGAGAACCACCACGTCCGTGACAGGAGGTGCGCCGGGCTGGGTTTCTTCAGCACCTCGTGGTTGGCCAGCGTGTGGTAGATCCAGAACAGCCGCGTGGTGATGTAGTAAGCCACGACCACGTCTATCGTGTAGTGGTCGTGCGCCAGGAGGATACAGAAGATGCCGATACAGGAGACCAGCCACGTGCACCAGTGAAGAATGAACCAGCCACGTGGGGAATCTACCCAGGAGGAAACATGAATAAATGAATGACTGCTTTACTAAAAAAAAACCAGTACATTGCAGCCATGGCCGAATTTTACAATAGGGCACACAATAGGGCACACTATGACACTACACATAATGCCTTTAAAAAAGAAACATTGTAAAGCATCAATAAAATCACTTAAAACACAGGATCAACTTGAGAAGGATCAAACTTACACCTGGGCGAAAACCTGACGGTACAAGAAATACATATGCATGCAAGCTTATCAAAACTATATGTCAAACTTTTCCTTCCTGTGTGTAAATCAGCCTGCTTTGACGTATGTTAAGAATGTATATTCAGATCATACGTTACCTCCAGGGCTGGCATATGATCTGTATAATTATATGTTCTTGACGTACAGGCTGATTGTGTCAAAGCAGGCCGATTTCTCCCCTTAGAAAAATGCTTAAATCTTAGCCCTCTGAAATGCTATTTTCTGCATATTAGGAGCAAATTTTGCCACTAGATTAAGCTTCCTTTTTCAATGACATCTCTTTCCATATCTTTTCATACAGATTTTGTCTGTCAAAGGTGAAAGAATGGGCAAAATTTTTGTCTATCGCGAGTGACAAAATTCCGTCCAGACTGGCTAGAACACTGGACTAAATGGAAGGAAGTTGGTCCAACCCCGTATAATCATGGTCCACATGGGGTCAAAATTCAAGGTCAGATAGCAAGGTCAAAGCTACAAATGTGCAACGGCTATCATATCAGAATATATTCCACAGACACCCTACTGTTAAAAAATTATATTCATAATGAGAATTTGCCACCTCAGGTGGTACCGATATGTGAAATTTGGGGGTCTGGCTCATGGACTACAATGTAGTATACTCACACTCCCTGATGAAGAGGTAGAGGATGGTGAGGATGACTGTATGGCCACTGAACAGGTAGTCTCCACACAGGTGATGGGACCCAGTAATGGACAGGCCCAGGCCAAACATCATTGTCATCGCACGATCAAACATTGCTGATAAATTACCATGGATCTGGGCAAAATCAGAGTGGGTAAAACAATACATGTTAGAAAGACTCGAAACACTACCTGCATATGTACAGTCATGTCTGCGTTACATTTGACGGAGGTTGCGTTAGCGGCGCGATACTGGTGCGCCGTCGGCGCGATAACGTCGCGACGATATCGCGACGATACCGCGTTACGGTAACGCAGTTTGTGTGGCCGGAGCCTCATAGGTAGCCCCGCGTCACCCGCGTTATTTCTCGAGTGATCGGTCGCGTTATCCATTCATATGCACGGGCGGCATCATGAGTTGATTAGTGCCCCGCCTACACAGCGTGCCGAAGTAACCAATTATATTCAGCTATTCCCGTGTTTTCGGTACTGAAATAAGCATATTCATACCTGTTTTTTTTATGTTCCACGTAGGTACCGGTTTTACTGACGTTTGTCAAAATCAAGACATTTAATGTTACGGATAAGCCTAAGGTAGGATAAGAAAACTTTGGAAGCGTAAGTTTTAGAGCACACTAGGACGTGTGCCCCGATCAGCGAAGCCACGCGGACTGACTGGGAGAAGTCGGTAGCGGAATACACATTTGCTT